CAAAACAGACTCTCCATAGATGATAGATGATAAACTGACGACACTGTCAGCCAACAGCTTAAGTTCTATGCATCCCAACTGTACTACCTATCCTCTTTCTCTGGAATAAACCAATGAAACGACTTGCCTAGCTGAAGTGATTGCCCTTGACACAATTTTTGGCTTTTCCTCCTGAAAATCACTTTTATTAAAGCAAAAAGATATGAAAGTTGTGTCTTTGTGTAAATGGCATTATGATGGCCCAGGAAGATACTTGAGTCATTTCCACATTTGCCTCCATGGAGAATAAGGTTTAAGCCATGCATGCTTAAGCAGACAACCTGTTCATGTCTCTTTACAAAGCTCCCTCTTTGGTCTTGGCGACATCAAAGATTTCAGAGTGGCCACCTGGCATTCATGCTTCTACTCACTACCAGGTGTATATGATAGAATGAGAATGGTGTTTTAATAAAGGGGCAATGATTAGTATGGATTTATCCTTGAAAGACTACTATATTATTATTATTAAAAATTTTTTTATGCTCATTTTAGAGCTTTGTCTTCTATGTCTACCTAATGTCATTTAGCAGAATATGGAGCAAACTAGCTGTAGGTCATATAAACAATGGAGGGTAGCTCAGGAACATTATCAGAGATACACAGGTGGCAAGAAATAGATGGTCAATGGTAAAGACTTTCCCAGCTTTAATTTCTTTAATTAAAAAAAAAAGGAATCTTACAAGCTGGGTATGGGGTTGTTTCCCCTCTATTCCCACCAGGAGGATCACAAGTTCAAGGTCAGCCTAGGCAACTCAGCAAGACTCAATCTCAAAAATAAAATTAAAGAACTGGGGGTGTAGTGCAGTAGTATGGTGTTTGTTTAGCATGCATGAGGCCCTGGGTTTAATTCCCAGTATCATCAAAAATTAAAATTAAAAATTAATCTTATACACACAAGTATGCATATACCTATTCACTCATGTATATACCCAGAAACTGGAATAAGAAATATATGCTACAAATAATTGTGGGAACTCCTTAACTCCTGTGTGTCCCTCCTTGATTGTAACTCCAAAACTTGTTTCCAGAAGAGAATACCACCTGATGTTGTGTTTATCATTCTCTGGATTTCTATAAGATTTCCATCAGTTTTACTATATGTATTTTTAATCCTAAATAACATATGGCTTAGTTTTGCATTTTTGTACTTTATGTGAAGTATGTAATATTTGGTGATTTAAGGCATGTATTCTTTAGTGAGGTTTCTGCAATTTATCTGCAAATATGTCTGTGATTCATTTATTTTTTATGCTCCATAGGATTTCATGGTATAAAATAATCAACACTTACACACAGGGAACATTAATGATATTTCTACTTTTTATTCTATTTTAAACAATGCTACTATGAACATTCTTCTATATATGTGCTAGTCCTCCAGGGAAAGAACCATAGATTCAGGATATGTATTTCTTCAATAATAACAATTTTTTTCAACTCATTATTGGAAGTAAGCACATCAATTTACACATGCACTGGCAAAATATGGATAGTCTGATACTCTCTATCTTGCCAACACTTGGTATGCTCAATGTTATGATTTAGATATGAGGTGTCCCCTAATAAGCTTATGTCAGATAATGCATGAATGTTCAGAGGTGAAATAATTCAATTATGGCAGCTGTACTAATCTCAGAGAATTAAGACATTTGAGGGATTAATAATCTGAATGAATTAACTGGGTAGTTAACTATAGGCAAGTGGGACGTAGCTGAGGAAGCAGGTCATTCTAGGCCTTGCTTTGGGGGTCTATGTTTTCATTCCTGGCATCTCTCTCTTTCTCTCCCCTAACACATTCTCTCTCTCTCTCTCTCTCTCTCTCTCCCTGCTCTCATGAGGTGAGCAGTTTTCCTCCACCATGCCCTTCTGCCATCATGTTCTGTCTTACCTCAGGCCTAGAGCAATGGAGTTGGCCCACCAAGAACTGAAGATCTGAAATTGTGAGCCCCAAATAAACTTCTCCTCCTCTAAGCTGTTCCTGTCAAGAATTTTGGTCACTTGACAAAAATCCAACACCCAAAAAAGTGGTAATTCACATAGACAATGAATCCTCTAGAGTCACATCATGCTTCTGAGTCAGAGCTTAAACTACAATTACTTCATAATGAATTCTCTCCTTTCAAAATTGAGAAAAAGACATGGTTTGAATCCATAAAATGGCAAGCGTAAGTTTTGAAACTAATTCTATTGATGCTTACAAATTAGTCTCCCATTTTTCTTACAAGGAAATTCCCTATAACATGATGTCAAAACATTTGTGTCTAACTACTGTGTTTTGCCAAAGAGGTAAAGTTTCCAGTCAAAACAATTAATTAGAAGCTATTAATGATGGTTTCAAAGATTTAAGTAGTCACTGTAAATGAAGAGAGAAACTGAAGGGAACAAAAATCCCTAAAACATGGTGTAGGAGATGAGCTCCTTTGTTGATCTCAAACGGGGACGTTTGCCTTAAAACCTCTAACTCTACTCCCATCATTAAATTACTTAATTAATAGAGCACGCAGTGACATCAGTTTTGTGATGGACTTCAACCTCAAACATAATTCTTTCTTCTCTTAAGGTAGGGTTAGTCCTTGTAATATTTTATCTTTGTCACAAAAGTATTTTGGGTGCTGAAAGCATCATAGCACTAGTAGATCCATTTCTAGTTTGGTCATCTACAGACTATCTGGGTAATCGTTTGGATAGAAAATTCATAGGTGAAACACTAAAATCCTTGAGTCATACATTATTTTAGTAAGAACTTCAGTTTCATTTCGTCTCTTGCAATATCTATTTATCTACCTACTGACCTACCTACCTACCTTTCTCCAAAAGGCAATGCCTGGATGTCATCATGAGATTCATGGTTTTAGTTGATTAGAGCTAATGAAATTCAGGTCAGCGAAGCCAAGATCTGCACAGAAAGATTAACTTTTCATGGTCACACGATCAACAAACACCCCTGCCAATAAGGGGATTAGGGAAACAGAGACTCTACTGTTGTAGAGTACAACACTTCTCACTCCTAGGGGAAAAAACAAAAGATCATTCTGTACTGATGATTGGTCTGTGATGTTGGCCTTCACCACGAAGAGGAGCATGATTGATTTTGCTAGAGGAGACCTCAGAATTGGACAGTCTGGAACGAGTGAGGGGAGGCCGTCTGTGGGTACCTGCTATGGAGCCCTCCTCCAATAAGCAGCAGAGTCAGCTGCAACCTTCCCTGTGACCTTAGACACTTGGTTAGCAAATACATATCCCCCTCTCTCACAGGAGCACCCAGATTGTGACACATGCATTGAAATGTTATTCACGTCAGGCAGAATAAGTGTGGATGGCAAGGAACGGTGCACGTGTACTCCCACACCTCGGGTCTCTCACCTCCTGAGAGATGAGGTCTCCCTCATGCTGGCTGCAAGTTTTGTTCTTCCAGAGTGAATACTTCCATCAGAGGCCTCTGAGACTACACTTATTTTTAGTTTTAACATTTTCGATAAAACTTACTTTTGAAACAAAATCTTTCTGCTCCAAAATATGAAATATGTATTTTTTATACTGATTTATATTTTACTGACCATCTTTGGGAGGTCCTACTTCCTCTTGATAGTCCACTTGGGTAACTCCTTTTTATTCCACTTTTGGGTAGTTCCTTCACTATGTCAAACGTTGTTGATATTCAATAAAAGTCATTGTATCAAATGTCAGAGTGACAGGACATTTATATCATTAATGGCAATTATCCCTTTAAAAGCCTTTTGCAAATAACCTTCCCATATGTTTAAACATTTTAGGAAATGATAATGTAAAAAAAAATGGAATGCTATGAATTTGACAAATTGTGCTATGAAGAAACATTTTCAAGAGTAAACATCATCCTTATGCCAAGATGTAAATGTTGAGATCAATGTGGAAAGAAAAAGAAATATAGCACTGTAAGAAATACAGCACCAACAGTTGTGAAGAACACTGTGGCTCTTTGGCACATCCCTGAAATAAAAAAAAGTACTGTTTGGCAATCGTCTGGACAAATATGACCTTTTCTAGGCGATATGGTACCAGATTCCTTGTGTGTATTGTTTTGTCTTTACTGCTGATAGTGACCATCTTTTCGTTTCTTCGTCAGGCTGACCTTGTAAATGGGAAAGCACATCTCATAAGAGCAGTTAAATGTCAAGGAAGAACTTAATATTTCCTCTAGAGAGGAAATATTCAGTGCTTCATGGATGGCAGTGGAGAGTGATCCCTTGCACTAAAGTTTTAGAGATGCTATCCTCCAGGAAAGGCCCAAATTGGGATCAGTGATTTATCTTTCTCATAAGTTCAACACAAACCATGGCATAGGATTACGAAATAATGGAGAATGAAAGGAATTATCTGCCAGAATCTATAGTGGCACTCATTAGTTCTCCCTAATCAAGTTCTACAGGTGTCAGGAAAGGCTCTTCCGTCACTACTAAGGAATTCCATCACTTTGACACATGATAAAGAATAAATGCCAGGTGCTACTGTTCTGAACAATTGGTACCTACTTGCAGGCCTGATGATGACTCTCCCCTGACTTCCTAGAGGACTCCAGTCCCTTAATGGACCGTTTTGTGGGTATTTATCATCCTTGAACCGCTGACCAGAAGTGTCAAGTGATCGCAGTTGCAACATGATTGTTTTGCTCCATTCCTGATAGAAACTTCACTGGTAGAAGTTGCAAAAAAATATTGACAATATTTTCTAAACCACAGAGAACTTCTTGAAATCTTGACTTCTCTCACACCAAGCAAGGAAAACCAAACAAAACAAACAGATTTGAGCCTGGACACTTAATTGATTTCTCTAAGAACAAGGACACAATAAATAGGACTTCTTCCATCATCATCATCATCATCATCATCACCATCATCATCATCGGCAAACATTTGTTTTAAAACAACAACAACAGCAACAAAAAGGAAGGCCAATTAGAAAGACTATGCATTTTCAATTACCTTGGAAACCCGGTTTGCAACCTCTCTGCCCACGGTCAGCCCCTGGACAAAGGTGCGAGCAGCAATGAAGGCACGGGTGACCTGGATCTTCAGCTTCCGGGGCACATCTCCAAATGGCTTCAGCTGGTCTGTGTATTTGCTCACGCACTCCAGGTAGTCCTCACTGAAGTGATACTGAGGGTTGATCAGCTGGAACATTCGTTCCAGGAGCCGAGCCCAGAAGTCATTCAGCATCTCTTCAAGGTTCACGTTGCCCCCAGTGTAATATCTCTTCAGCTCCGTGAAGAGGTCCTGGAACACTTCCGAATTCTGCATGTAGAGCATCCCATAGGTCCGGACAAACATGTCATTGAGGGACTTCTCTGCATTTTCTAGAAGTTCTCGGAAAAATTCTGGAGATAAAACAAGAAAACAATCATAAATAATATCTAGAAAGCCTCAGGCATCTACTTGTCTTAAACACAACCACTTTTAATGAGCAGTTTCATAGACAAATGTCGCCTGTGATTAAGATATAAATGAACTGGTCAAAACAGTATGTAAATATGTACTTTTTTTTTCATTTTGTAATACTGGGGATTGAACCCAGAGTCTCACACATGCTAGACAAGCACCCCATTACTGAACTATACCCAGTCCTTTTTATTTTGAGACGGTGTCTCCCTAAATTGCATATGTTGATCTCCAATTTGTGATGCTCTTGCCTCAGCCTCCTGAGTAGCTGAGAGTACAAGCTAGCAGCACTGCACCAGACTAAAGACAATATTTTAAATGAGAATTGATCTACATCTGTGATCTTAGATAATACAAAGGAATCAGAAGACTCTGTAAATTCTATTTCAGAGAGGATCCATTAACATCCGAAGCTTACCTCCTAACATTCTTCTAAAATAGCTCAATTCTTTTTTTATGAACTGTTAAATTTTAGAAAATCTTATGGTTTGATATAAACTCAAAATAGGTTGCAAACATAATGTGCAAAGTATCACCATTAACACAGTAACAAATGCATACCTATAAACACATTTGCTCCGGCCTATTTACAAATTTGTTATAATGTTAAATTCAATTACATTGCTTTTATTTGGAACAGTTCTTAAATGGGATGTTCAAATTAATATAATATTTTGGATTCCTTCTAGTTCCTATATATAGCAATCAATTAAAAGTGTTCAGAGATTCATGATGCAATTAAATTCACTTAATACTAAAGCTATAATGAACATAATTAAGGTGGCCATAATGAATTAGAAAGCTATGAAGTATCTTGGATAATCATTATAAATGCAAACTATCATCTTACAGAACTTACTTGAACAAAATATTGATAGTTGGGCTTTCTGATTAAGATAATCTATATGAAAAGTATGTACAACAAATGAAATCTTTCATTCTGCAAGATCTCTTGAGTGTCACTGAGATCACTGATGGGATACAAACCTAAGGCTGGCTAAAAAGCCATTAGGTCTGCTAGCTCACTAGTTCAGCTGTCAGGCTGTATGAAGAGGTACCTCATGTATGTAGGCTATGTATATATGTAATGCACACTAGCCATGCATAGGTGGGACTCACATTAACCCAGAAGTCACTGGGCTAGTAATACTGAGGTTTTATCAATGCATGAATAAGCCTAGGTAAAGTCTAAGCTTTATCCCATTTAGATAATATAGTTTGGGGTGGCAAAAACACCAAGGAATGATAATGCTTCTGAGTTTATCAATCCAAGTTCCCAATAGTAGAGTGATTCTGCTTCACCTCTTCAAAGTCCCTTGAAGCTATTCTGTTCTCCCTTGGAAATTCAGGAACAAATCAAGTCCTAGATATTTCAAGGACTTCAAGTAAAAACTTTATAAAAAGATTTTTCTTTCTGGATCCCTAGGGGGTTCTTTCTGAAGAAAGAAGGGGAAAAGTGATGAGTCCTTCTCTGTGTCCCAGGAATTACTCTGTACTTTGTCAGAAGCTGGCTACAGAAACACGTGCTTAATTGCTTCAGATGTGGTTAATGCAGAATCAAACAATTTTCTTGATCATTACATAGTGTTTATACTAATGATAACTACCTTATATTTGTTTTCAAACAGGCAACAGAACTTAAAAAGACTCTGCTCACTTGTTTACCCTTTTTAGCATAAGAGTTTGTTTTTTTTTTTCTCTTGATACAGAGGCTACAAAAACTTAGGGATTGCCTAAGTGTTATGACTGAGGAACCTTGTACAATTTTGTCCAAGCCAACAATTACTTGTTACTTTAATTTTTCTCAAATGTAAAATCAGATTACATTTTATTAAACTGTTTTACTTGATAGGAAGGTGGAAGTGATAATAACCCTGACTTGATTTGTATATATTGTAGTTGTGTATTAAAATTCCATTCTTTACCCCACGAATATGTACAATAGTTAAATGTTAGTCAAAAGTTAAGAAAAAATGTCTAAGGAGATGGAAATGTCAACTACCTTGATTTGATCATTATGCACTAAATACATGTGTCAAATTATCACACTGTATCTCGTAAATTTGTAAAATTAAAATAATCTGTATAAAGAAAACCACACTAGAGAGTGTGGTTCAATCTTTAAGGATTCGGTAAAATAAAATGAGTGTTGAAGCAGACGATTATGTATGTTGTATGTCAATGCTATTTATAACTTTTTGAATCAAAGGCATAAAAAACATGTTTTTAGTAATGCTAGTCACCTAGTTTGTCCTAAAATGGGAATTATATTAAATTATTAATATTGATACCAAAGTATTAAAAGTAGTATAACTAAAATATTTCAGTCTTGAAACCAAGAAAGAAAACAGCTTAGGTCTGCTGATATAGGAACTAGGTGAAAAGTATTGCAGACTGTGAAAGAATATAGAAAAGAATGGAATAATCACTGAATTGAAAAATACTAATATAATGAGACTGGAAAGTGGATTCTAATCATGAGCTCTAGATAGCCTATTCATTTATCTTCTTTTGAGGTCAATTATTTTGTTGGACTCAGGAATTAAAGCTTAATTTATTGAACACGATGTAGTGCCTTCAGCAATGAAGAGTCAGTAATCAATAGTGTGGTTTAGATTTGCAAAGTGGTAAAAAAAAAAAAAAAAAAAAAGAGTGTGTTGGGGTGGGAAGGCCCTTCTGGTCATCATGGCTCTCCAAAGACTCGAGGTGAAAATTGTCTTTATGAATGAAAATTTTAGTTTTCTATTAGCAACAGTAAAATCCCTGAAGCTTTTTCCTGTCCTGACACAGGATCTCGGAAATATTGGGCTTCTGAGCACTCTTAAGACGAGTCATTAAAATCAGACTGTCTCTTCTCTGCATCTTGTGTGGTTTTTATTTTTTTATGTCTAAATTTGTATCCATAATGGAATACAGAAACCAAGTTATCATATTTCAATAAATACAGCTCAACAATCATTTCAGAAGATTCCAAGCTTAAAGTTTTGTCTAAGGGTGTGTCATGGCCTCAAAAGTTTGCTATTAGCTTCACTGGTCCTCAAAAGTCAAATTACTCCTTGTTCAAAATCATTATATGGTTTACTGATCTCATAGGCAAAGTTAATATTTTGTATTGAAAGACACTAATACATCAGCCAATTATAAAAAATGTTGCTACCGTAGGGTACATTGATCTTATATCGTATGACAAATGGGAATCCAAGGTACTGAGGCAAAACTAATGTCCTGCCAAAATAGGTAAGCTCCTTTCATCGTCAGCAGGCCTGTGGACTTCCACCACTTGAAGGTTGACTCTGAACAAAGTACTTTATGCTTGGATGGAAACTGTTTCTCAGCAAACCAAACAAGATAGAGATTTGGAAGACAGTTATCTGATCCATTTTGCTGATGAAGTATTTTGTCCAAACACATCAGAGAGAGTAAAATTCAAGCGCAATATAAGAAAAAGCAACCTCTATGTAACCCTCTGTTTAATCAGAAAGGGCAAAAGCTCACTTTGGAGAAAGCCTTCCATCAACAGAAATTCTCATCTGTAAGAAAGAGTCTGGCTGAAAGAAAGGCGATTTGAGTTTTTTTCTTCCTCAATCACAAAATATACATCAAAGGTGGTTGCTTAGGGCTCAGTTATGCTTCATAGGTGCACAAAAAGAATTTTTCCAGCCAGCATTAGCCTCTGGGAGGGTTTTATTCATCCAGAGGGGAGATCTTGGATGGAAACATCTGTTTGCTGCGGGGCAGACTAAAAACTACCATTGCTCCTCTAGCAAAATTAAAGCCTGCACGATGCTGCGGATTGCTTGGAGAGGCCTCTTAGGGGGCAAAAATCAACTCCTAGGAGCCAAGAGGTGCCCTGAGGATATCTGTGGAAGGCTTCAAATGAAGCCTTCAAATGAACAGACTGGAATGTAAGGTGGCACACAGAACAAAAGGGAAGCAAAAGGAATAGGGATAAAGCAGCCTAGGAATTCACAGGCTTTATAACACAGTAACATCTCCTCTTATTCAAACCAGAGGTTGGTCTCCTTAACAGTACTGTGGATCAGCACAGTGCTAGATGGGAAGTGGGGTTGGGATTATGCACAATATGCCATCATTTTCCGATTCTATTCTCCTGCTGTCCAAAATACTTCTCACTGAAATCTTGTATAAGACAAGTGTTCCAGCATGGTGGTATAAATTCATGTAGTTACAGCTCAATAAGTGAAGAGTTTTGGTCACTGGTCAGTGGAGACTCCCCCTGGTCTGAACTCTTGGACAGTGAGGGATTTACGTGCCCATCTGGGACAGAGGTGCTATAAACCACATCTTAGAAGAGGACATCACTGATTCACTTTCCTGTCATCCTCCAAATATTTTTTTCTTTCTTCTTCTCCTTCTCCTGGTTCTTCTTTTGGTAATGAGAATTGAACTCGGGGGTGCTTAACTCCTGAGCCCCAGTCCCAGCCCATTTTTTTAATGTTTTATTTAGAGACAGGGTCTTGCAAAGTGGATTAGAGCCTCCATAAGTTGCAGAGGCTGGCTTTGAAATTGTGACCCTTCGGCCTCATCCTCCACATTCTTGAGCATTTATAGAAAAGAAATCATTCATATCTTCCCACATTCCAAATTCACATGCACCTATTTAAACAAAATACTGCCGTCTCTGTTCAAAAATTTATTGATTTATTATTATTAATATATTGTATTGAATAATCTCAAGTGCTTTGTTTTGTGGGTTTTTTGATAAATAAGACTATATCATCTGTATTTCTTCATAATGCATGTTTTCAAGAAACAAGAATATAAGAGAAAGATGTAAAAAATTATTTTCAATAGATATCCTACGATGATGCCTCACAATTTTTCTTCAAGATTAGTTGCATTTTTGTGTAAGACTTTCAGAATGCAGTTTTTAAAATTATGGGATTGATACTATATAACATTACTGCTAAAATAAGAA